ATATATTAGTGTAACTGAATTTTTATATATTCGTAGGACATCCTGTCGGGTGTGTACTTATTGAACTCTACTGTCCGTCTTATAGTAAACAGCCCCGATACTCACAGGTGTTTCATTGCAGTTGTTATAGCTCGAGTAAATGGAAACAAGTATCAGTAATACGCTAAACGGTAGCAAAACGAAGCCATTACTATAAGCAACAGATTAGGTAAAATCCTATCCAGCTGGGATTATCGTAAAGATGAACCTTGATGGATCGTAATGTCAGTAGTGAACCCAATTGCCTCAATATGGAACATCGATGTGGAGGTAAGCATTGAGCAAGAAGAAAAAACCTTACAAAAGTCAAGAGAGCACAAAGGTAAATGGTAATATGTCAAAATTGATCATTTGGAGCAGTTTCCTTTGATGCAGCAATCGCTATCGCTAGGCAAGCTTTGTGTATAATAGAACAACAGGATATTTACCTGAATAGAAGGATAAAAAAGAAATATATCAGAAAGATGATCACAGGATTTGGTGAGTACAGTCAAAATCGCTAAAAGGCTGATTAAGGATGTAAGTATCACGAGTATAAGCAAGCATCACGGTGAGGCATGAACGACCTATTCTTTGGCCTGACGCGGATTTTCAGTGGGTACTTCTTTTTTTAAGGACAATTTGTTCCCTGTAAGTCACCTGCAGATACTGCAATGAGGGTGTTCACGACTCCGTCGAGCATCCTTTTTTGAGAGTATGTAGTTTTCAAGGATCTTAAAGGAGAGCTCGAGATCGACCCCTGGATCCCCATGATGTTCGATAATGGAGAGAAAAATTAATTACAAAGGGTCACTTAGCAGATGACGCTTTTAAAAGAAAGAAACCCAAACGCTTACTAGGTCTATCTTGTGTATCTGTTTCCATCTTTATACTCTTTCATTTCCCCCTTTCTTAGTCAGCAGCAGTGAGCGCTACTGTGTAGCTAGCCTTGGCTTTTCCCGTCATCACTGCCTCTTGTCAACAAACACATTATATATACATATACTACTATGGAGGGGAGCTGTCTTTAGTGTATGATCAACTTGGATCATCAAGGAGCCACGGAACGATCAAGCTATGCTTCAGGCTGCAGACATGGAATCTTACATAACGTGGCTAACTTATGCGAGGTGTACATAAAGTATTTCCACCATTAGTGACTTCCAGAAAAACCTCGGGAGTCGCTGAACACGTTTCAACACTGCCATCCCCTTCTTGCAGTTATTTCATCAGGTATTTATATTATTTTCTAACGTTAACTGACTGTTATATTTAACGTACACTACACAGTTTGACTTGTTTTTATCTTGATATAAATATATCTTATAAGTTATCTTGTCAATATTCTTTCAATTCTGTTTCTTCCGATTCCAGTAATTCTACCAGACGTAAATAATAAATTCTCAGCGTTTTTGGCCAATTTGAGAAATCAACTTCCCACTTCAACGCGAAAATGCTTGCCTACACTCTCGAAGTTGTGTGGTAACCAAGTGTTGTAAAAGCACACTGCAACGTTCTTAACTGATAAGGCTGTGTTTTTCTTACACGACTCCTCAACTGGGCATTCTCATCCTGCTGCAACCATCGTTTCGCAAGAATTTAGAAACTCGTAATAAAGCACAATTTTTGGGCTTATCTGACTTGCGAGTAGACATGGACTGGGCCTGAGACGCTAACAGAGAATACGGCCTAGACCCACTGTGCTGTTGTCAATAGATGGATCATCGTGTGGTAGTGATAGCGGATATCTGTTAGAATCAAGACAAGAGATCATCGCGCGCTTTTCGACTTGTCGAATCTGTCCAGCTCGTTGTATCCGCGAGCGTCTGCGTTTTATTTGTTTATAAACGGAACTTTAATAGTTATCGAACATCATTCAGCCAATATCAGAACGGACCATTCAATGGCGATTTATTTTCAAACTGTAGTATAGAATAACATTACACTACAAAAGCTGAATTGTTAATTATTCTAGCGTACTGTTTTAGAACAAATATGTATTACATATATTTGTCAAACTATTGAGGTTCATTGTCAGGTAAATGACGGTCGACCTTAGCGCAATCTTAAAGATTATGGTCAGCTGTTCAGTTTATAAGCAATGAAATCACCATTAGATCCTGTAATGCTAAAGCGATCCATGCAAAGTCGGGTCACAAATTGAGTTAACAAGCTTTCGTACGTTGCTGGCAACCTTCTTAAATGAACGGACATTGCTGGAGATCGAAAGTTTAGAGCTAGAATGTGTGGTAAAAAACCGCGAGAGGAGTAGCCGATGCAGGTACCACTTTGAAATGTACCGCGCGCTGTGTGTCAAAAACAAACTACTACAAACTAATGAGACAAGTCGAATTGCATCAATGGTGATTCGACGGCTTTTCTGATGTCAACAGAGCCAAGTCAATTTCAGTACTATGCACAGATGTACACCCTTGAGGTTAGTAAATAGGTTGAGGACCATCATAGCGGGAGCAGTACTGACGGTAACGCTCATAGACAACGCTTGATTGGACTTAGTCGTCGACGGGACGTAGCTTTTTTTTTTTTTACAAGGCTTACCTTCTTTCTGGAGTCTTAACCATTTTTCTGACCACTTTCTGTTTGCAACAAGCTTAGATGCACCGCGATCTCGGCGATGCTCGATACTCCCGAAAACTGATATCACTCTCCTGGCGCCGACAAGCGCAAGATTTAAAAAGTACGAACGTTTCCTAGGTTGCTCCATTGTGTACCAGTAGTACGTGATCTATGAATCGATGTAATGGGATATTTTACTGATCTTCATTAGAAGGAACCAAGTAACTATCGACATTGACCTTGCTAACATTAATGCGACCATACGTTCCAGACAGCGTGAACGTCTTCGTTAGAGTTAGCCAGGATTTGGCTACTAGAAGTGCACGCTCGCTCTTTCCACCGACGTAGATTCTCTTCCGATAGGTGACTGCGTACACGGTTCCAGATGCATTACCGAAAACGAGGGGACAGCGCATTCCGACTGGTTTATTCGCCGGGTTGCACCGAGCAGAGACGCGCACTTCAAACGAGTCACTGAGTTCTTGAGCTCATCTTTTAAATTCTTCAAGTGATTGGCCGGCCATTACTTCGACTCTTTCCAGTGACGGACATGATCGCTGCCGAATAAACCGTTTACTTCGAAGCGTATTCTGTAACAGATGACCGATGGGATCTAAAAGCGGTGCTACAAAACTGAATGTTGTATGCTGGCTGGCATGAGCGAATGTAGCGGCTTCCCTGGCGAGCGAAGTGAGCTGCACACGAAAATGGTCAAAAGTTGGAGCTTAGTTAGGAGACGCCGAGTACCCTAAAGGGCGCACTGTTCACAAAACATGCTTCAGTCGACTTCACCCCGCGATTCTTGAGATAGCCCACGACACCTGACGAGTTGATCGTAGCTGCATATTCTATTCGGGTTACTACTTTCTTGATAAATAAGGCGACTGCAAATGTCGCGGCGAAACCCCCAACATATCATCAGATTACAGTGACTCATGTGACTTCTACGTGCCTTCGTAATCTATATGTCTGCATATGTGATGCAGAGTGGCCGCTAGGAGAAAACAACTAAGGTGGCTTCCCAACCAGTAACCTTGTTGATTTGGTAGCATAAAACACGATCTTGCCATAAGACCCGAAATAACAGTCGGTCTTCGTCGGTGAGATTTAGCATCACGTAAGTCTTCACTGACACGGCGAACCGATGCAATCGATATTAAGCAACAATTCCACAAAGTCTGGATTAATGTCTAAGCCAGTCACCAGGTGATCGTTAAGGTGGTAACTGACGCCGCGTATTGCTAGCTTCCGCGTCCTATCATACTGAAAACTGACTGGATACACAATATACAGGATGATAAACTTATTTTTGTTTGAAGCTCGATGAAGTTGTTCTCTCGACGACCCAATCTAGTCCCGTGACTGTTGACATTGATCTCTCAGTAATTTCTAATAATGAGTCCCTATGCAGGATACTATCGTAGGAGTTAATGCCGATGGTGATTGCTATTGAGATACGAAGCGTCAGCAGGTGAGTGAGCCTTTCCGGAAGTCTTAATTGCTTACATTTTTTGTTGGAAACCATCTTCTAATGGCTCTATTTTAAAATGATATAGGTAAACTGGCCTGGATATAGGCCTCCAAATATCCTTCGTAGTGATGTATTGTGCCGGTTCGAGCGCCAACAATTCGCTTTATTTTCAAAAGTTACCGCCTAAAATTGCTGTTGTCACCAGTTGTTTCGTAAGTCAATGCGAACTGTGACAGCTCAACGTTTAGGCCCTGCACTCCTAGTATAATCCCCTACAAGCTGTTCAATGGTTGTCGCAGTCCCTCAATGCCATGGGAAGACTTCGCCGCAGGGACAAACATTACACGTTCCAAAGTTCGCCTGTGATCAACTGGGATTTATTTAAAATTTGAATCTACGAACTTCAGCGTGGCATCGTAGGTGGACCCGTTGATTGGCAAAACCTTATATTATATCCGCTGTCCAAGTTGTTTGTATAGTCTATCCAGCGTGTCGTCACTTGTTGTTGTCCTGCACCGCTCAATCCATTCGTTGAATTGCCCTTTCCAGTAGCGGTAATCGGCTTGTATTTTGTCAAGAGATGGCGTTTGAGTACCTACAGTGACAGGACGCAAGCACCTGCATCATCTTGTGGAAGTTATTCAACATAGCAGTTTGCTAGCCGATGCTGGTAAAAACGGTGTCCAAAAAACCAAGATGGTTGCCTTCGGTGCCCTCTGAGAGAGTGGCTGGCAAGTAATTTCGCCAGTATTCGAGATGTTTTCTTGCCGTAACGTGTTTAGTTTGGTAGTTCATTCTTCCATCGCTAGCTCATTGCCCTTGTTACTGTTAGTTGTCTGATCGTAAAGTCATCTGTCACGCGGAGACAATTTTGAATAGTTCACTTAACACGGTTTATGGGTCTTAGTAAGGTGTCATTCAGTCTGGCCGGATGGGGCCGGTCTTGGCTGGGCACAGCTATATCGATTGACTGCTAGAGAACTGTGTGGTCATAGTGAGATTACGATGCGACCAGGGTCGTGTTTGAGCAACTTTGCATTGCTAACCTTTACTCTGCGCGGGTCATTTGCATCAGTCAAGTTATTTGACTTATTAATAAATATGGACTGAAACTGGAACACCAATAGAGAGTTGTATCTGGAGCTATTGCATTGATGTCAATGGATGTGTGATCGTACCTACAAGAATGAAGACCAGTAATAATCCAGTGCCACTTGACTTTTCGAGTTTTATTAGCGAGTGTGTGCATTTTATTATTTCTCTAAACAATTCTTCTAACAATTATTGAGTTGCACAGTTTTTTGCACAAAACGAACCATTTAGTGACGGTTTATTTCAAATTATTAAGTGAAACAAAAAATACGTGGATTTTCAATTATTATAGCGTTCTGTGTTAGAACAAATTTGTATTGCATATATGCCATAAATTATTAGTATATGTGCCCAGATAAATAATAGTTTTCGGCTTCGATCAGTCGCCATTTCATATTATGCCTGCTGATTGGGAACCTTGTTCTTACCTTCTGCAACTATTTCACCTAGCGCAAATGATTTGAGACTGCCTAGGTCGCTCCCAACTATTAATGTTCTAATTCTAAAATGTCTTAGGGAATTTAGGCGGCAGATTGTTATCTAAAGTCGCTGTGTGAAAAACATACTGTCTTTGTATTGCTGAATACATAGGGCTATGCTAGACTGAAGAGTGGGTCAGCTTTTTTCGAAGCTATTCTGTCAGAACAGTCAAAATTTGGTTTGGGAATTTATTTCCCACTATACATTCTCTCTCTCTCTCTCCCTCTCTCCCTCTCTCTCTATATATATATACATCTCCCACTTAACCTATTATAATATTTAGCGTCCGGCGCCTTTTAACCTTGCTTATAGCTCCAAGCTGATATTTTGCTTGACCGAAAACCGTCACCCTGTTGCTGTCATTCTCGGTCTCCCGTTCTTGTAAGTCTTTTCATTTACGTGTTTGCCTTTGCATTGCAGTTAGTTAGCCTATTTTCTAACTTTGATACACTTTATTAACTCTTAAATATTTTCCTAAAAACCATCATCTCATTCCCTAGCTGCACGAATGCGAAATCTATAGTTTTTTTGTGCCCATTTTAAAGTTTAAATGAAAATTTAAGTTTAAGCTATTAAAATCAGCGTTGTAAAAATTTGCCATTGTTATTACAAACAGGTCAAATTTAGCCAAAGCAAGCTAAAGTAACTTGTCGTAAGATGGAACTGCTTAGCCATAAAAATACATAATAAAACAATTAATCTATGTAGGACGGTTTAGGCCCACAACCCAACACTTTGATAGACAGATAGACGCAGGCCTTTGGTAATATATGTAGAAAATTATTATATCATATTCATAGTTCTGCTAGTCTTGAAGTAAATGATCGAATTGGGATTTCGAGCTATATTGTTCGATGGCGAGACTAAGTGTACAAGTCGACTTACCTGCAGTACAAATACTGTTGGAATTTTCCATGGGTAGGCCTCTGAACATTTTTGCCAAAATATCGGTGACTGACATAAATAGCTAAATCACATACATAACTCTTTTATATCGTACTAGTTGGACAGCTTCGTTCGTGGCCCTTGGCGCAACAAATAGGCTCTCTATATAACGGAAGATATATGCCCTTAGGTTCATTTAAGTCCTACCGCCGAAAATAGTATGGAGCATCGCTATATAGTAGCCAAAGTGGTCTGCATTTTTCCGACTAGTGTAAATAAAAGAGCGTAACAGGGAGGCTACTTGTTATTGAAAGAAACCTGTTACCTGCAGCTGTTTCTACGTGACGCTATAGGTTAGCGCCGATAGGTACAATTTCAGCCGCCGAACTCTCTCAAATTTTAAAAGAAACTGCCAAAACAGCCCAGGGACACTCCTGCGTCGAAAAAAATCAATCAGATTATCTTAAAAAGTTCAAAGAAAGCAAATTTGAAAATTCAAAAGTCCACGAAAATTATTTGTGCTTTGCGGCGGCCCTTTTCCTATATCCAAAGCCGTAAAATACCGATGTCGTTCAAGATATACTAACTAAACTAAAGGCTTTAATTCGTTTAAGCGTCACATTCATGACGCGTTTCTTTATGTGGAAAAGCAGTGCCGTGTGGTCTTGAAAGAGGCAACTTTAACTATTTTAGGAGGCGTTGGATAGTACATATTTAAGACAAAAAGTGTGTGTAGAAACAAGGCAGTACGGTGCATCTATCTATTATATATAATGTGTATCCCGGGATTTGTATAATTTTCAAGCAAATCGTAGTCTATTGCATTTTGATTCTTACCGAGAAAATACTAGTCCCCTATTTAACCACTACATACGGATAGTATCAGCGTGTTTCGTTTTCATTTTTCTGGAAATTCTTCATTTTTTTCTATAGATCTTATGTCAACGCTTAATACAAACATTTGTAAGTCGCTTTTTTTTGGATTGATATTATACAAGATATTCTGCTTTTGTTTACTACATTGCCTGTCGGTCTGGCTGGTTGATTCGGTTTTGTTTAGCTAAAATCCATACTTATTCGATATAGACCATTAATAAACATGAAGACGTTTGAGATATTTTAATTAAATATAGAATTTTCTCTTGATTAAAGCACGCACAAAATTAAAAACGTTTTAAAATTGTACATTATGTAAGCTACGGATACAAATCTTTTTGAGGAAAAAGGACGTCGTAATAGGTTAAATAAAAAAAAAAAAAAAAAAAAAACTGGTTGACATGCACAGCTCACAGATTATGTCAAATGTGTTGTCATACATGTGAAAAATAGATCTCTTAAACGGCTATTATATTTGTTGCCGAAGCAGATCAAAGATGATTAAAATAAATATTCTCGTTTCCACTAATGATTTTTTTGTTTTCGGCTAA